CTTAGCAGCTTTTTTTTTTTTTTTTTTTTGAGACGGAGTTTCGCTCATGTTACCCAGGCTGGAGTGCAATGGCGCGATCTCGGCTCACCGCAACCTCCTCCTCCTGGGTTCAGGCAATTCTCCTGCCTCACTCAGCCTCCTGAGTAGCTGGGATTACAGGCATGCGCCACCATGCCCAGCTAATTTTTTGTATTTTTAGTAGAGACGGGGTTTCACCATGTTGACCAGGATGGTCTCGATCTCTTGACCTTGTGATCCACCTGCCTCGGCCTCCCAAAGTGCTGGGATTACAGGCTTGAGCCACCACGCCCGGCCCACTTAGCAGCTTTTTTTGAGACAGGGTCTGCTCTGTCATCCAGGCTGGAGTGCCGTGGCATGGTCATCAGTCTTGAACCCCTGGGCTTTAATGGTCCTCCCACCTTGGACTCTCAAAGTGTTGTGATTACAGGCATGAGCCACTGCGCCTGGCCCAGAAGAGTTTTAAAATTGCAATTGGTGTAGCCATGGATTTATAGAAGTCCTCTGCAGGTTTCACCAAATGTCTTGCAACACTAAAATGAAAACTTTATTTTGCAGGCTGACCAGTGCACCGGTCTCCAGGGCTTCTTGGTTTTCCACAGCTTTGGTGGGGGAACTGGTTCTGGGTTCACCTCCCTGCTCATGGAACGGCTCTCAGTTGATTATGGCAAGAAGTCCAAGCTGGAGTTCTCCATCTACCCGGCGCCCCAGGTTTCCACAGCTGTAGTTGAGCCCTACAACTCCATCCTCACCACCCATACCACCCTGGAGCACTCTGATTGTGCCTTCATGGTAGACAATGAGGCCATCTATGACATCTGTCGTAGAAACCTCGATATCGAGCGCCCAACCTACACTAATCTTAACCGCCTTATTAGCCAGATCGTGTCCTCCATCACTGCTTCCCTGAGATTTGATGGAGCCCTGAATGTTGACCTGACAGAATTCCAGACCAACCTGGTGCCCTATCCCCGCATCCACTTCCCTCTGGCCACATATGCTCCTGTCATCTCTGCTGAGAAAGCCTACCATGAACAGCTTACTGTAGCAGAGATCACCAATGCTTGCTTTGAGCCAGCCAACCAGATGGTGAAATGTGACCCTCGCCATGGTAAATACATGGCTTGCTGCCTGTTGTACCGTGGTGACGTGGTTCCCAAAGATGTCAATGCTGCCATCGCCACCATCAAGACCAAGCGCAGCATCCAGTTTGTGGATTGGTGTCCCACTGGCTTCAAGGTTGGCATCAACTACCAGCCTCCCACCGTGGTGCCTGGTGGAGACCTGGCCAAGGTACAGAGAGCTGTGTGCATGCTGAGCAATACCACAGCCGTTGCCGAGGCCTGGGCTCGCCTGGACCACAAGTTTGACCTGATGTATGCCAAGCGTGCCTTTGTTCACTGGTATGTGGGTGAGGGGATGGAGGAAGGAGAGTTTTCAGAGGCCCGTGAGGATATGGCTGCCCTTGAGAAGGATTATGAGGAGGTTGGAGCGGATAGTGCAGAGGGAGAGGATGAGGGTGAAGAGTATTAACTTGTGTGCTGTATTTTATACTCTATCGTCTTAGAATTGTTTTATTTTTGTTCTGTGGACCTGTCCATTATAGCCCTAAATTGTCAATAAAAGTGATGTTTCCATGTTAAGTGTCCAGTTGACTTCTGTATCACAGTAAATACTTGATCCACTTAAGACCAGTTGGATGTACAGGGCTGGCAGATGAACCACCTGAGTTTAGGAGGGTTTTGCTCCATCACCCAGGGTAGAGTACAATGGCATCATCGTAGCTCATTGCAGCCTCTAGCTCCTGGGCTCATGTGATTCTCCGGTCTCAGCCTCCTGAGTAGCTGGGGGATTACAGGTGTACACCACCATGCTCAGCTATTTTCATGTAGAGTTGGGGTCTTGCTATGCTGCCCAGGCTGGTCGTGAACTGGCTTCAAGTGATCCTCTTGCCTCAACCTCTCAAAGTTTTGATTATAGGCATGAGCCACTACCCGGCTTATTGGTTTGTTTAATTTGGGCCAGAATTGAGTGGTTATAAAATCATTTTGTGAGGAAATGTTCAGATTGAGCCAGTGCTTCTCTAAAATAGATGTGAATCACCTGTAGATATTAAAATACAGGTTTGGGCCCCACCTGGTGGCTCATGCCTGTAATCAATCCAACCCCAGCACTTTGGGAAGCCAAGTCAGGTGGATCACTTGAGCCTAGGAGTTTAGACCAGCCTGGGCAATGTGGTGAAACCCCATCTCTACAAAATAAGAGTTTGTGCGGTGTGATGGCACGTGCCTATGCTCCCAGCTACTTGGGAAGCTGAGGTAGGATCACCTGAGCCCAAGGAGGCTGAGGCTACAGTGAGCCATGATTGCACCACTGCACTCCAGCCTGGGTGACAGAGGGAGACCTGGGTGACCCCTGCCTCACAAATTCAAAAAATGTGGCTGGGCGTGGTGGCTCACGTATGTAATTCCAGCACTCCGGGAGGCCAAGGTGGGTGGATCACCTGAGTTCAGGAGTTCGAGACCAGCCTGACCAACATGGAGAAACCCTGTCTCTACTAAAAATACAAAATTAGCTGGGTGTGGCAGTGCATGCCTGTAATCACAGCTATTTGGGAGGCTGAGGCAGGAGGACTGCTTGAACCTGGGAGGTGGAGGTTGTGGTGAGCCAAGATTGTGCCATTGCACTCCAGCCTGGGCAACAAGAGCAAAACTCTGACTCAAACACCTTAAATACAAAAACAAAGTGCAGGTTCTAATTCTATAGGTCTGAGGTGAGGCCTCAGGTAATACATTTTTTTTTTCCTTTGAGATGGTCTCTGTTGCCCAGGCTGTGGTGCAATGGCACCATCGTAGCTCACCACCATCTTGACCTGGGCTCAAGCCATCCTCCCACCTCAGCCTCCCAAGTAGCTGGGACTACAGGTGTGTGCCACCATGCCTGGCTGATTCTTGTAATATTTTTTGGTGGAGATGGGGTTTTGCCATATTGCTTAGGCTGGTCTTGAACTCTTGGGCTCAGGCAATCCTGCCTCTGCGTTTTCAAAGTGCTGGGATTACAGGAATGAGCCACCATACCTGGCCCCTAGATACTTTTTTAATAATCTCCCAGATGATGCTGGGACCACATGTACAGCAGCAAAGGGTTAGATAACAGTAAATGCTGGAGCTAAAATTCAAGCATCCAGCCACACCGCCAGGACTATTTCTGTCAGTCTTTTTTTTTTTTTTTCAAAATGTAGTTTCACCCTTGTTGCCCAGGCTAGTGCAGTGGCATGATAGCTCACTACAGCCTCCGCCTCCTGGTTCAAGTGATTCTCCTGCCTCAGGGCTCCTGGGTACCTGAGATTACAGGTGCCCGCCACCATGCCCAGCTGACTTTTTTTTTTTTTAATTTTTGGTAGAGATGGGATTTCATCATGTTGGCCAGATTGGTCTCAAACTCCTGACTTCAGGTTACCCACCTGCCTTGCCCTCCAAAGTACAGGCGTGAGCCATCACACCTGGCCTGCTCTCAGTCTTTAATATCGAATTAGTCACATGAGAAGGGCTTGGAATCCTGCTGGTTTATTCCATACTTAGCTAAAAGCTACAATGGAAAAGAGGGTTTGTACTAAAGGGGTTATTGCTTGGAGAAAGTGGAGCTGTCAGACAAAACAGTAGTCACTGGTTTTTCTGGTATTGGTATTTGACCCAATTGTATGTAATGGAGATTAAGTAGGAATAATATGTATGTGTAGGAAAGATTGTAGAGGGCTGAGTTCTCTGATTTGGACTTTTTTCCAAGCACCTCTTGGAGGACTCTGGTTCTTGGAGGCAGGGAGGTGAAGGGGCATGAGTGTTACACATCGCTGGAGAGCTTGGTGCCTGGTATTCAGTTGAACTGAGCAATGGGAAAGGCCAATGACCAAAAGGTCTGGCTTCATGCCGAAAGGAGGAATCCATTTTGGTGCTTGGGTGCTTGCCCGAGTGTGAATACCTAATGAGTGGCAGTAGATGGGCCCCGGGGGCAGAGTTGCAGACATATTCACCTCTTTTCCATGACTTACTTTATTCTGATGGTATCCAGTTACCATCTTTTTCCCAAAGGTGTTTTGTATCCCTTACCCATTGCTCACTTTAGCCCCTTGACTCTGAGAATTGCATCTGAACTCTAAACATGCACATCTTAAGGCCAGTGCTGGGACTCACAGCTGTAATCCCAGCACTCTGGGAGGCCAAGGTGGGAGGATTGCCTACACCCAGGAGTTTGAGACCAGTACCTGGGTAACATAGTGAGACTCTGTCTCTAAAACATTTTTTGGCCGGGTGCAGAGGCTCACACCTGTAATTTCAACACTTTGGGAGGCTGAAGCGGGTGGATCACTTGAGCTCAGGAGTGAGACCAGCCTGGGCAATATGGTGAAACCCTGTCTCTAATAAAAATATAAAAAATTAGCTGGGTGTCATGGTGCATGTCTGTGGTCCCAGCTGCTTGAGGGGCTGAGGTGGGAGGATTGCTTGAGCCCAGGAGGCGGAGGTGCCAGTGAGCCAAGTTCATGCCACTGCACTCCAGCCTAGGGGACAGAGTAAGAACCTGTCTCAAAAAAAATGTTTTTTAAATGTGTATATTGTATCTCCGTACATAGCATAGCATGCTTTTGCAGCCTGAGATGCCTCAACTGTGTGCTCAGGGTGGTTTTATATAACATTTGTCGAGAGAAACCATGGGTTTGTTGTATTGTGTTGTGTTGTGTTGTGTTGTGTTTTTTGAGACAGAGTCTCACTCTCACCCAGGCTCTAGTGCAGTGGCATGATCTTGGTTCACTGCAGCCTCTGCTTCCTGGCTTCAAGTGATTCTATTGCCTCAGCCTCCTGAGTAGCTGGGACTACAGGTGTGCGCCACAATGCCTGGCTAATTTTTGTATTTTTAGTAGAGACAGGGTTTCACCATATTGGCCAGGATGGTCTCAATCTCCTGACCTCATGATCCGCCTGCCTCGGCCTCCCAAAGTGCTGGGATTACAGGCATGAGCCACTGCACCTGGCCGCAACTATGGTTTTATGTGGGCAAGGTAAGACCCCAGCACAAATTCAGCCACTGCTACTTCTCAGAGGAGCCAGGTTCTTCCTGCAGCCTGGGCAGGGGAACAGGGTAAGATACCTGGAATGAAGGTGAACCTGGAAGAGGCCAGCCAGCCTCCCAGAGGGGATTTCGAGACCTTCCCAGTACAGATCTGCCGATTGCCGTAGTGCTAGCATTGGAGGAAATGGGACGCCAGTGTATGGAAAGGAGCAGATAAATCACAAAGCTTAGGCGAGTGTGACACCCCATGATACCAGCATTTCCCAAGCAGGGTGCCCTTAGAATCAGATTCAGGGTGCCCATATAGGATCCTTTCTGCTTTTAGAACAACATGGTGGAGGCTGGAGAGCCTGACCCACCCCTCCTCCCTAGGGCCAGTCACCCCTTGCCAGGAGCAGCCTCCTCCATTTACCTCTCTATGCCTTATAGATGAATTATTTTCTACACGTGCCAAGATGCGAAAAAGGCTGAAAAGCTTTAAGCAGCCGCAGAGGTCTGGGGTAAAAGAAGGTGAGAGAGGAGTTTAGCTAAGAAGAAATATTCCAGTAGAATAGAGCCTGGGGAATTGGAAGAGCAAAGTGCCAGTGGTTGGGGGGGCATTTGTCCTTGTAAAGATGATTTCCCCCTCCTGTGTTGGTGGGAGAGTGAATAGAAGTTAGCCTGCAGCAAGAACAAATATACCCCAAGGTCTAGGTTACTGCTTTGTGGCTGACAATCATCTGATCTGCCCTTGAGCACAAATGGAAAGTCTGGACCCAGAACTGCAGCTGATGCTGATGCTGAGATCGCTGAGGCTTGATGGGGATAAATGGACACAGCCTAAGAGGGTGCTGGCTCCTGAGGTTGGCGGCGGCCCCAGGTTCCGGCTGTCTGGATGGAGGGCTTAGACTGCCCTCACCTGACCTGGCCAGAGGAGCAACCTGCTTCTCCCACACAGAGGCTGCCAGCCACTGGGAGGTGAGTGTGCCTGGGAAGAGGTGCTTTGGGCTGGGGTGAGGAGGAGGATAACGACTTTGAGGGGTAGAGATCCTACCTGCCCACCTGTCATACTGTGTTTGGGAAGCAGCTGGCAAGTGAATTCTCCAGTAGGAATCTGTCGGGCCAGAGGAAAGCCAAGTGGGTTACACAATTACAAATCTGTCTTCAGGCCTCTGACTGCTGGAAGGTTGTGTGGCAGCCCTGGGTGAAGCTGAGGGAGGGCAGGGGAGGCGCTGTCAGGGTGGGAGGGAAAGGAAAGGTGCCTTCACAGCTTCCACAACACCCTGGGAGGTGATGTTATTATACCCACTTCCATAGATCAGAGAGATTGAATACCTTGCCTAAGCCTACAGAACAAGTGGCAGAACTGAAATTTGACCCCAGAGCTCTGGCTCCAAAGCCTAGGCTCACTCCAATCTGCTGTGCAGCCATTGAGGAGCCCCAGGGGAAATCAGCTCTGCACCTGGCAGCCTTTCCAGTCCCCAGTGGGTATGAGGCCAACAGGGGCCAGCCCTCCTATGAGCACTGGATGGAGCTGCAGACACAGAGAGATCTCATTATGCCAGTGATTGTCAGAAAACCTCCCAGGAGCCCATTCCTGGGCCCAGGTGGCAGCCTACTGACCTTAAATGGCAAAGCCAGCTGGTCACCACTGTCTAGGCTGTAGCTTCTCTAGTGAGGGGGAGTTTTTGTCCAGGCCTCCCTCTGAACTCAATTCTCAGGTCACGGGGAGATAGAGTGTCCTTGCAGGATGGCTGCTGCCACCTGCCTGGTCTCCTGCCGACAGGGATACCAGCCGAGGCACAGGCAGGACAGTGCACACCTGGAGCCTTGCTGCTCTACACCCCGGGGCCAGGGTGGTCAGTACCTGTCAGCTGAGGCTGCAAGGTGAAGCTGGCAGAGATGACCTGGGCAGATGGCTCCTGGGGTCCAATGCCAGGGTGGCCATATAGGAGACACAAGGCAGCAGAAGCCGAAGGGAAACTAGACCCTTGGATGTGGGGGCTGTGGAGGAGTGGGCCCTCACCCCATGGAATAAGTCCCCTTTGCTGACATCTCATTAGCCTGTCACTGCCCCGTTCATGCCAAGAAACTAGTGCCCCTGAATTTGTCAGCCCTGAGCAGGTTTTGGGAAAACAGTTCTTTCCTCCTCTACGTTCCCTCAGAGTCTGCAGCAGGAGTGAAATGGAATCAGTGAGCCTTCTAGATCTAGAGACATGCCTGCTTTAGTCATAATACAAAAAATGCTTTTAAACGCTTATCTCACCACTGGATTCTTTTTTTCTTTTTTCTTTTTTTTGAGACAGACTCTTGCTCTGTTACCAGGCTGGAGTGCAGTGGTATGATCTTGGCTCACTGCAACCTCCGTCTCCTAGGTTCAAGTGATTCTCCTGCCTCAGCCTCCCAAGTAGCTGGGACTACAGGCACATGCCATCACGCCCAGCTAATTTTTGTATTTTTAGTAGAGACAGGGTTTCACCATGTTGGCCAGGATGGTCTCAATCTCTTGACTTCATGATCTGCCCACCTTGGCCTCCCAAAGTGTTGGGATTACAGGTGTGAGCCACAGCACCTGGCCTTTTTTAAATCTTTTTAAAATTGGAACAAAAAATAAAAAGAAAAAAGATGAAAAAATACAAAAAAAAATTGGAACAGGGGCCAGGCGCGGTGGCTCAAGCCTGTAATCCCAGCACTTTGGGAGGCCGAGGCAGGTGGATCAGGAGGTCAAGAGATCGAGACCATCCTGGTCAAAATGGTGAAACCCCGTCTCTACTAAAAATACAAAAAATTAGCTGGGCATGGTGGCACGTGCCTGTAATCCCAGCTACTCGGGAGGCTGAGGCAGGAGAATTGCCTGAACCCAGGAGGCGGAGATTGCGGTGAGCCGAGATCGTGCCATTGCACTCCAGCCTGGGTAACAAGAGCGAAACTCCGTCTCAAAAAAAAAAAAAAAAATTGGAACAGATTATAAAGTTTTTACAGAATATAAATGTTTCCTAATTACACAAAGATTTTGTCTACAGAAATTAGTTTAACTCACAGAGGCGGGTGGGTATAAATTCAACTTCATTCTGTCTCCCTTCACCCTCTCTGCACGTTCCTCTATTTTTATCAAATATCTATTTTAGCTTCCAAGAGATGTTTAGTCCAAGAGTAAACTAATACGGAAATGCCCGTGGCAAAGGTAATCCAATTATACTATTCTGACAATTATCTCTAGTTCTTGCTTGTTTTAATTTAAAAAAAAAAAAAATGGGCCAGCTGCAGTGGCTAATGCCTGTAATCCCAGCACTTTGGGAGGCCAAAATGGGCAGATCACAAGGTCAGGAGTTTGAGACCAGCTGGCTAATATAATAAAATCCCGTCTTTACTAAAAATACAAAAATTAGTGGGGTGTGGTGGCAAGTGCCTGTAGTCCCAGCTACTCAGGAGGCTGAGGCAGGAGAATTGCTTGAACCCAGGAGGTGAAGGTTGCAGTGAGCCGAGATTGTGCCACTGTACTCCAGCCTGGGTGACAGAGCAAGACTCCATCTCAAATTAAAAAAAAAAAATTGGAGCATGATACTTGCTAAGTTTTTTTGTTTTAGAGACTGAGTCTGGCTATGTTGCCCAGGCTGGCCTTGAACTCCTGGGCTCAAGCACTCCTCCCGCTTCAACCTCCTGTGTTGCTGAGACAACAGCTCACCGTCCTGGGCTTCATTTTCAGTTTTCAGTTTTTATTTGTTCATTATTTTTGGAACACTTATTTGGTGCAAGTCACTGTACTGGGTACTATAGGAAATATATTGAGTTTTTTGCCCCTCAGATTGTAGAGACAGACCACACATGCATAATCTCAATTTGAGGTAGTATATGCCACATGTCACAGAAGAGGCTGTCACAGGCAATAGCCACTGTTGCATAGCTACTTCAAAGCTTGTTCCACCTGCCAACACAACCCAGTTCTGTCCCCGTGAGGGCCACCCATGTGCATCGGAGGGGCTGGGCTTCACCTCTAGGGTGAATCTTCCCCTAAGCCAATCAAGGTAATTCTAGTTCTTTTGCCAGGGCCTGGTTAAGGAGCCAACATGTGATGTAATTATGGAAATGAGAGGTGAGGTAATGTCTGCCGGTTGGGGGTTGGAAGGAAGATATTCTTGCAAAAATTTCCTTGGTCTTAAAAAAGAACTCAGGGAAAGGATTTTCCTCTTGCCGCTCTGGGCATGGCTGTGTGAGTGCATGGTGCCTGTGCTTGCTCCTGGTGTGTGAGGTTGCTGCAGCCGTCTTGTGACCAGAAGGGGACAAACACAAGGACAAAAGCTACAATTGGGAGCAAGGCAACGCAGAAAGCTGAAAAGAGGCTGGGTCCCATCTTCATAGAGCGCTGAGCCCCTAAATTAACCAACCTTGACACCAAACCTTGCTCTGCTGCCGAAGGTTTTACAAGATTTTAAGTCCCTTTATCGTTTAGGATATTTTGAGTTGGGTCTTCTATCGTTTCCTGTCGAAAGCATTCTAACTTCTTTAAGTAATTGTTTTTATTTATTTGTTTTTATTTTTTTCTTTTTATTTATTTCTTTAGGTAATTGTTAACATAAATTTTTTCGGCTGGGCGCAGTGGCTCAAGCCTGTAATCCCAGCACTTTGGGAGGCTGAGGCGGGTGGATCACGAGGTCAAGAGATCGAGACCATCCTGGTCAGCATGGTGAAACCCCGTCTCTACTAAAAATACAAAACAAGGCCGGGTGCGGTGGCTCAAGCCTGTAATCCCAGCACTTTGGGAGGCCGAGGCGGGTGGATCACGAGGTCACGAGATCGAGACCATCCTGGTCAACATGGTGAAACCCCGTCTCTACTAAAAATACAAAAACATTAGCTGGGCATGGTGGCGCGTGCCTGTAATCCCAGCTACTGAGGAGGCTGAGGCAGGAGAATTGCCTGAGCCCAGGAGGTGGAGGTTGCGGTGAG